TCATATCTTTTAGCCTTTTGTTTCTGTCCATGGAGTTTTCTTGGCAAAGATATTGGAGTGGCTTGCCAGTTCCTGCTCCCGGTGGATTGTGTTTAATCAGAATTCTCCACTACAACCTGTCTGTCTTTGGCGTCCCTGCACAGCATAGTTCATAGCTTCTCTGAATTACTAAAGCCCCTTCGCCATGACAAGGCAGCCATCCACGAAGGGGAGAGGAAAATTGTTATTTTAAATAAAAATCCAATTAGACCCCTCTCTGGGTTTGCTGATGTTTCAAGGGAAACAAGCACATTTATTACATAAATAGCTGATCACAATTTTCTGCTTAGTTGCTAATCTGGTTATTGCATCCCATTGTGAAGCCATGATGAATATTACCGTTTCCCATTGGTACTGTATACCAAAGTCTGGTGCACAGGACTTATGGAAAGGCTAACTGCCCAAGTCTGGGTTTTATGAAGAAGCAATGACACTGTAAGAGTTTCACAAGACTTGGTACCCATTTATACATCTTGTAAACTCAAATGAAGAGGACAATTCTACCCTTGGATCACATGCCAATTTATGGAAAGACTTAACACAGCTTATCATGGTGACCTGGCATTCTTTGCAATCCTTTACTCTTATCCCGTGGGTTTGTTATTTTATGAATTCAATGCTATGTGTGTACTGTGAGAACAATAAAAAGTATTTCAAAAAATTAAGCTTCCATATACTGAGAAAGATTGCAAGACCATCTTGTCCAGCACAGTCTGCCCAGACTGGCAGCAGACCAGCAGGATTTCAGACAGATGTCCTTCCTAGTCCCATCATCTTTCTTAACTTTGAGATGCCAAAGGTGCAAAGAGAGACCCTCTTCTCACATGTCAAGCAGATGATAAGGAAGCCCAAACCTCTCCCATCCAGACTTAATATGCCTGCACTCACCACTGTGCTCTTCTCAGATAGGCTTTGATGTAGGTGTCGTCCAGTTTGATGGCATTTGTGCAGTCTTCTATTGCTTCATCCAGCTTCCTAAGCTGGAAGGCAAGCAAGGAGGTTAGGAAATACAACTCACTGCATTTTCTTAAAAAACAAACAAACAAAAACACAATTCTCCAAGAGCAGAGAGCAAGAGTTCCTCAATCATATTTACAAAAAAAATTATATTTCATGTCTCATAGGCTGCTTTCTTTCACATCATTCCTGTGCAGTATGAGTGCCACTCCTAATTCTTGCTCTTCAAAAACTTTTCATCTGTACGTTATTTTGTTAAGAAGCATACAAACTAATAAATATTTAATTTATAAAGTAAAAGAATAGAGTAGTATAGGGCAAAACAACCCCTCCTCACTAAACAGCTGGCATGCACCCACAAGTTAAAGGTAAGACAGACAAGCTCTAATAAAGAACATATCTCCAGAGTAATGCAGGCTTTGTACAGTTAATATTATTGATATACTCTGAAAATGCAAACCAGGTTTGCAAAAACGGATTAATGGAACTGCTTGATCTTAAAACCCCAATCAGTATCATTAATTTGTCCACTAATGTCAACTTCCAGGCCTTGGCTACCTACTTTGTCAATATAAACAGTTCCCTACTTTCCAGTTAGAGGCAATTAGCAATTGTGCAACTAAGCACAGAGATGTAACGTTTTTAAATTTGTTTGACAGTAACATTTGAGTGAACATGAAGTGAGAGCAAATCCAGTGCAGATGAGAGTTACACAATCCAATGCATTATTATTCCTATTTCTTTAAAGACATCCATCCAAAAGGAAGAATACTCTCACCACATATAACCAGGGGATCCTAGGATGTCACAATTCCTCCCACATTACAGGATGTTTGCTATTGAAATAGCTGTATTTCAGATGTGCAAGTTACCACCTGATAAGCATTTTTAAACAGTGGTCTTTAATTTAACTAAAATCATAACAAAAAGTGAGTTATTCCAAATAGATTTCTAGATACAGTCCTCAATAGTAGTATACATCAGCCTTAACTTCAGTCATAACAGAGTCCTCTCTGATTGCACTGTTAAAGGTTCTATTGCAAAAGCAAGTAAAATTGGAGAGAGAACATCCATGTTTCATCCCCCATGTTTAATGGAGAAATATGCCATGCCACATCTGTTGATCCCGACCACAACTGCTGCATGCTTTCATTATAGAATTTTCAGGACATTAATGAATACCTGCCCCATATCCACAGCTGTGCAGACCATGAACACATATGCCCACTCTAATCGGATGCATCAAAAGAAGCAACTGTGATGTGCTTGAGCATGTTCAGGTCACTGCAATAGATTGTGTCAAGAAGCCTGTGCATTGGAATAGACATCTGTCTCGACTCAATGAAACCAAATTAACTGAAACAGGAAGAAGGTTTAAAAAAAATTTAAAATTCATTTTCAATAGGCACAGGAGGCTGGACATGGGTAGAGGAAGGGTAAAATTCCAGAGAGCGAGAGGGTACTTTTACATCTACTTATACAATTCTACTAGAATAAAAAGATAATGATAGATCCTTGATTGGACCTTCACATTCTTCTACTGTATTTATGCTTTCCAGTCCATGTTTTGAGTCTAGCTATAAAATCATTCCAAATTTTTTAGTCCTTTTTAAGATGACGATTTATGCTTTCCAGTCCATATTTCGAGTCTAGCTATAAAATCATGCCAAATGTTTGAGTCCTTTTTAAGATGACAGTGTTTCTGCTTTCTTCCAATGTTTCCCATATTACAGCTATAGTAATTATGTATATTATCAAATGTTTCATATCTTTATTTACAATCTCAGACATAATATTCAATTAACAGAATTTCAGTTTGAATATCTCACAAAATACATTTTTCAACATTTCATATACTAATCTCCAATAATTTTCTGCTTCCCTATCTATCCACCCAACATGGTTGAAAGTACCTTCCTGTATTTTGCATTTCCAACACTTATTTTTTTTAAAAAACCCATAAAGCAGTTCTTGATTTTCATACTATTTCTTGAAGGCAGATAGTGTCCAATTTTAATTTTTGTATTTGTTCGTAATTTCTTTTACGTCTTTGGGATGAGTTTAAACCATTTACATTAGCTAAAACATTCTGAGTTGTTTCTTTCTTTTGATCCATCTTTATTACTAAGGTTTTCTTTCCTCTTCTTAGACCCTCTTGTTTACATGATGGGCTTTCCTTCGGCGCTTCCCATTTGGTTTTCTAGCTCAAATTCTAAACTTTCTTCTGAATTTGATCCTGATGGCCCACTTGATTGCTCCTCTTTCTGTCCTTCTCTCTTCTTTCCTACCCAGCCATTTCCCCTTTTTTCTATAAAGTCTTCTGCCTTCATTGCTGAATTGACAGAATATCTCTGCGAATAAAGTCTTCTGCCTTCATTGTTGAATTGACAGAATATCTCTGCGACTAGAATTGGAAAGAGATACCTTCAAGTATCAACCACTTATATGTAATGGAGTTTGTTCTCAGGAAATATATCAACTCTGTGTACTGTCTCCTTTTCTGTCTTATTTGCCACGGAATATTTCAAAATCTTAATTTATTTTCCTTTATCTTGAATGTTTCTTAGAACCTTTTCTCGAAATACCATTCTCATGAATTTAACATGAATTTCTCTGGGGAGTTTATTAGTCCTGATGTATGCTGTATCAATTATTTGTGCTGTATCTATATTTTGCTGTACTTCTTCTGGTCACATATCCATAAGTGGGGCTAAAAGTTAGTTACCAATTGCACTGTGTCTTCACCTTTTTATTCTGGAAGATTCTGGATTCTAAGTATGAGGTTGACTCCATTTGTAATTTTAGCAGGACGAAGATTCTGGAATCTAAGTATGAGGTTGACTCCATTTGTAACTTTAGCAGGACGATTTCATCTTGTTTTCATGTTGTATCACTACCAGCTCTGCATTCATAATCACAATTTTTTTTTTTTTTTAGGAATTTCATGTTGTATCACTACCAGCTCTGCATTCATAATCTCAATTTTTTTTAGGAATGTTGTATTTTAGCCTTTTTTATTTTCTATAATTTGGTGTTTAATATCAGTCATTTGCAACCCTAAATCTTTGATTTGTTCAGATAGCTGAGCCATTCCTCCTTGTATCTGCTGTTATCCTGATGATAACATATTTTGAATGCTCTGTTGTCAATCCTCACTACCAGCTCTGCATTCATAATCTCAATTTTTTTTAGGAATGTTGTATTTTAGCCTTTTTTATTTTCTATAATTTGGTGTTTAATATCAGTCATTTGCAACCCTAAATCTTTGATTTGTTCAGATAGCTGAGCCATTCCTCCTTGTATCTGCTGTTATCCTGATGATAACATATTTTGAATGCTCTGTTGTCAATCCTTAAACGTCTCTTGCCCCAATAATTTCAGACTTTGTTCTTGTGCAGGTGAGCCTCTTGAGTTTTTTTTCTTTTCCTCCCTTCACAGCCACCGTCCTTTTTTTTAAGCTGCTGTTTGGGTCTTTCCCAGCTAGTGTCACTGCTGCCTTACTTTTCATTCAAACAACAATGTTTACATAGCCCATCCACAGATTAGCACTTCTCTCTGTTAAAATGTTCTTGCAGCCACCAGTCAAAACAATGTGTTTAAAATAACAGACAATGCCTTGAGGCAAGTAACATTTGCAGTTCAATATTTCTCTCTAGCCTTAGGAATTAAAGGTAGGTCCTCCAATCAAAGCTGCTCCGGGCTACAGGAGGTCGGGCTACAGGAGCCACTGTCACCTCCACCATGGTGCCAAAGAAAACTAAGGTGTCTCCAATCCAGTAATGTTACAGAATCTAAGACTCTTCTTAAGTTCCAAAGTTCTATTTTCTGATTCTAGTTTCCTCTATCAGCATTGTAATTAGACAGTTTATGATTAGACTATCTTGTGGGAGCAAATCTTTGTCTTTGATTAAAACAGTTCATTCACCAAATAACTTTCTCCCCTCCTCCCTCTTTTTCCTTCTCTTTCTTCTCCTTTTCCAGATCAAAGCGGGTGGGGGTGGGGTGGGGAGGCTAGCTTCTACCAAGGCTTGAAGAATTGCAGGATCTAATCCACTTCCACTAACTCGTTAAGCCCAACTTTCTTCTGTATCATTATTTTAGGTCCATAAAGGTTTCTTTATATAAAACACACATCTTGACTTACTTAGAGTCCTGGTCAGGATATTTTCCAAAATCCTTCTGTACTCCTCCGCTCTCTGCAAGGGGTGCTCCCAGATCTTTGCCCAACATGGATTCCTCCTCAGTCCATGCACTCAGAAAAGACTTCAGGGGGAAAAAGCAGCTTCCGCCAACTTCTCTCCCCTTTCTGTCGCCTCTGATGCTTCAGACACTGTTTTTCGTAATGGACCGTCCTTTTGCTCCCTACATTGGGGGCCTCGAAACCGAGGGGTCCCGATCAGTTTCAGTAGCTTTCCCGAAACCCGACCAGTCTCACCATGATGAAAACCCACCTCTGGCAGAAGTCTTTGTATACCCATGAGAGTGAAAGAATGGAAAGGATGAGAAGTAACATTTATAGGATATTAACAGAAGCAAAGGACAAACAAGATGTTTTGAAAACACTATGGGAAGTAGATTTGGAAGGAGAAGTAAGTATTGAGAGGTGCAAGAATACATGGAATGAAATAATTTTATAATGTATGTCTGTAAGGATAAAAGAATTTTTAAAAAATAAATTGGTTTGGAAATGGTATTTAACACCAAGGAAACTGAATTGTGTGGATAACAAATATTAAAATTTACTGTATGTTGGAATGTTGTTAGGAAGCGGGTACCTACTTTCATATGTGGGAGCATGAGTATATATTGAAATTTTGAAAGTTGGTTTTTAAAACAAATAAATGAAGTATTAAAGTTAACTTTAAAAATATGTCCTAAAATAGCACTTTTATCAATAATTGAGTGAGCAATTAGAAAATGAAGGAACTGATTACAAATTTTAGTAACAGTGAGTAAATGAATAATAGCAAAGAATTGGAAAATGTGCGATCTCCAATTAAACTAATGGTATAAGTACAGATTATAGATATCAATGGTAAGTTAACATGCAATATTAAAAGGAAGGAAAGACAAATGAGAGTATGTTTAGAGTTATGTGAGGATAATTTACTGATTTCTGTATTAACAAAGGGGATGAGTTATGCACCTCCACAAGAGCCATTTTGGAAGGGAACGGATCTCCATGAAGGCAAGGAAAACAGAGCAACTTTGATGGCCCATTGGGAGGGGAGCACATTGGATTGTATGTGTAAACACTAAGTTGTTTTTTACGCTTGTGGTATTTGTTGATTAGTATTTTGGTTAGTTTCCAATTTTTGTGTTTACTTTTAAAATTATATATATATTACAAAAGTGTATCTTGGTTCAGTAAAGAGACTGGACCGTATGAACTTTGATCACATAGATCTTTGCTTGATTTACTAATAAGAATTATCTGGGTTACATTACAAAAAGTACGTTCACTTCTCAGATTTGAATAATGAGAGAAGAAGTGAGCAATTATTTTCAAGAGTTTTATAAAATCATCCATTGAAGCTACCTGTTTCTAAGAATTCATTAGGTTTGATATACTATTATAAAATCTTGCAATTCACTCAGGGGCATGGGGTAAATTAGGTACTTCATCATTTTTCCCCCCAAATTAATTTGGCATAGGAAATTACCAACATGCTTCATCAGGGGCAGAGGAGGACTAAATTTTGTGCCAACTTTTTTCAGTTTCACCGATCCTTAATCTTATAAAAAGCCTTACACTGTGGGGATCTCTTAAGGGCTGCAAAGTGAGAACTTCATTTCTTTTTCTGAATATAATTTTTCTAATAACTTACATGCTTTGTTGCCAAATTCAAATAATTTTTGAGTAGCAAATTTACTGTCAAAGGATATCTTGAGCCATGAGGGATGCCGGTTTGGTTGCTTCATTCTTTAGCAAATACAAAGAGGATGAGCTCCCAGATACCTTATGCTGATCTTTCTTGGATTTTACTTTCCACTGTAAGCTTTGTTTTTTTAGCTAGCACTGAGGCTTTCTGATGTTTTAACTCAATTGTATTTGTATTTCCATTGGTGTTTTATTATTATATTATATTCCGTTATTTCATTTAGTCTTGTTAGCTGCCCAGAGTAGCGGTTTGCCACTAGTTGGATGGGATAAGCAAGCAAGCAAGCAAGTGTAAGTAAGTAAAGTAAAATACATATACATACACATACACACACACACACACAAACACACATATAAATTAAAAGTGCAATGTTAAAAATGTAAAATGTTACATAAAAGAAACATTTCACAGGATTTGAAAAGTTTTCAAATGAAGCTTTAGGCTGCAAGAGATGAAGGACCTAGCTTCATATCACATATACCTATTCAGTTTAGTGGGAAGAAAGGTTTTCTGAGGTTCTTGAGGACCAAGGCACATGGCTTTCTCAGTGAACAATGGCAGCAGGTATTTTCTTAGTTGATTTGTTAATGCTAGCATCTCATTCCCCCTTAATGGTACAACAGTTCTCCAGCTTTGTTAAATTTCATTTCTCAAAATTTCAGCCTCGCTTTTTGCTGAAGAGCTTATAATCTGAGGCCTGCAAGTCTTGGCAGACCAACCACCTCAACCATTCTTTGCTGGCTTACAGACATTTTAGATCTTCAACTGAGAGGACCCCTTCCAGTAAGTTCTTCATGTCCTTCAAAAAAGAGAGACAGGTGTCCTGAGACACAGAATCAAAAGTCCGTTCTCTCTTACACACTGTCATTTTACTCCATAGGACAATATATTTAGGCCGAACCTCAACCATTCTTTGCTGGCTTACAGACGTCTTAGATCTTCAACTGAGAGGACCCCTTCTAGTAAGGTCTTCATGTCCTTCAAAAAAGTGAGACAGGTGTCCTGAGACACAGAATCAGAAGTCCGTTCTCTCTTACACACTGTTATTTTACTCCATATCTAATTTGTGAAGGACAGAGATCTTTAAAGAATTCTCTGATACAAAGGAAAAAGCCCAATCCCACCTTTAAGTACTATTACCTTTGAGTTAACTGTTCCACGGTTGCAGTAGAGTTTGGCATTCGTTTTCCTGTTATTTGGGTCTATTGCCAGGGCTTCTGTATAAAGTTCAAAAGCTAGCTTGTAATTCCCTTCCTTGAAGGCCTTGTTGCCGTCGTCCTTCTTTGCTTTCAATGCTTTGGCGTTCTGAAAGAAAAGGTGGGCAGCAGGACACTTTAGAGATTTAAGATGTAGACAAAATGAATTCAAGAGATCTTTAGTTAGTTAACCTATCCAGATCTGAGTATCAGATCTAGATAGAGCCTATTTTGTTCCATTCCTACATTTGTCCTATTTAAAGGAAGGGATTTGGAGAGTAAGGCCGCAACACAGAGCAAAAGGCTCTGCAGATGGGCAACAGAAAGCAGTCCATGTTATTCCTGAGGTTGGAACCTACCGCAGTGGTGACAGGATCTCTTTGCTTCTCTGTCCTTTTTACAGTTCAAGAGCCCCCTGATCCACCAGTAGGTGCAGCAATGTGGCAACAGAGGCAGAGCTGTGGCTGCTTCCACCATACAGTACTTATTTTGTAGATTTTCACTTGGAATGATGCTTAATATGGCTGCAATCATTTCAACAAGTCCCCCAGAGAAGGAGGATGGTGACAGTGGCCAGATTTCTATTCTTTTACCTCTGAAGCCAAGAGCAGCTTTTCAGCATTTTTAAAAGAAGGGGAGGGGGGGAAAGGAAGGAAAGAGAAAGAAAAGGAAAGCCTGCCACCACGATGGTAAATCCCTTCTCCCTGAAAATATTTCTGGGAATGAATCTGAGACTGCCAAATGGGCATACCTTATCCACTTCCACTTTTGAGTATATTTATTTATTTATTGAGCTTATATGCCGCCCATTTAGACATAGCCTAAATGGGCGGCATATAAGCTCAATAAATAAATAACTGGACGGCGTATATGTGTGTGCTTTTATTGTCATCTGAAGAGAAGAACATTCACAGCACTATTTATTTTGCAAGTTCTTTTTTAAAAAACAGTACAAACGTAAGACTAAACAAGAACTTTCATTATTTTGGGGATGGATACAGTTTCATCAGGTAGCACAAACGAAACAACACAGCACTTTCAATGAGCTGTACCTTCTTTCTATATTTCTTTCACTACTCCCTCATCCTCCGCACAAAATGCCTCAGTTTCTCTATCAGGTCCGTAATCATTTACACATAATGATTTTTCCAGAAATGTATCAGTATACCCACAGAGTACATGTTCTCTTTCATTTGTGTTTAATTTGTCTAGCAACAGAAATCTGAGTTTATTAAATCCATCAGTGTGCCAATTCAGTTACCAATTAATTTATGTCAAATTATGTTTTGATATGTGGGATATTTTACCAGATTGTCTCCAAAAAACAAAACAGTTGTGTCTACTGGCATAATAAGTGCTTGCTAAATCTGTTGACTGATAAACCTTTTAAAAAACAAAATGTTTTAAAATACATCAATCTAATCTATTAATTGGTTAAGCACAGAAATCCTAACAATAAAAACCAGACACAGCAAACATGATGTTGTTATCATGCCAGCAGAAAATAAAATAATATAAACTGAATAGTCACTGACCTGTTGTACATAGGAATGCCATATGAACTTGCATTTTTCCAAAAAAATAGCCCTGCTAGTCTGTGTAAGCATAGACTAAAAACAAACACCAACCACAACCAGCAAAATGTTATGGCACCTTAAAGACTCATTAATGTCCACTCTTGAAAATTCACATTAAAATACAGTATAATATATTTTTTCTTTAAGATGCCACAACGTTTCATTAAGTGTGTTCTTGTTTTGGTCTGCATTTTTGTTTTGTTTTTCATTTAATATGCTTCATAGAAAATCTCAGATTTTTTTCTTCTGCTTTGTTTTGTATTAAACTTTGCAGTCCTTATGGTTCTGCAGATGCTGGAAGTAAATGGGCGACTTCTCCTGAATTGTTAGAAGCTAGAGAGATGACTGAATAAAATTCCCAATGTCTGGAGCTTCCCCAACCTCCTGGCTCATGATTTCCACACACAGAATTATGAAATATAGTGAATGCTGCAGAAAAATATGCAAAGTAAGCAACATTATGGAAATGTGCCCAATTTGCAAAATGTTGACAAGTTGCACAATTCTGATTTTCTTAATACAGAACAGAAATTGTCTAGCTGCAGAATGTTACTTTTGCCATGCAATACATACAGCCTTGATTAGGGCAGTCAAGTCCCCTCCCTGGATGCCTCAGAAACACAATTATTTCCTCTCTAGAAGGAAAGAAAACATTTACCCTTAAACATGGCCCCTTGCTTCCATGGCCCCCTCCCCTCCAATTTAATTACTACGACTCACTTATTACCCCTTTTACTGATCACAAGGCTGTCAAACATTTTACACACATACACAGCCACATGGCTGCTTCCTGTCATACTTACACGGCAGGCAAGACAGGCCTTGTCGTGGTCAGGAGCCATTTTGAGCGCCTGGACGAAGAACTGCACAGCCTTCTCAATACAGTCCTCGTAGTAAAGGCAAAGCCCTCGGACATAAAGAGCGTCAGCATTTGTAGAATCTATTCTCAAGATGTCACTGAAGGCAGAGAGAAGAAGCAATGCAGAAGTTACAGAACTGCGGGGAGCAAAGGAAAGCTGGTCATACCCCTAATTTTGAAGAGAGGGGCAAACACCATTCCCGAGAGGCAAGAAGCTATGCCTGACTATTTTAAAACCATTCTGTAGGGTAGGGGGAGCTGAAATATTCACAGCTTCTTCTATATTAATACACCTCAGATAATAAATGCTATAGAATCCCCATAAAATTACAGAGACTGGCAGAGGAACTTTCATTGTATGGCAGAAAGGAAAAAATACACAAACCTGAGAAGCCAAAATTGGCAAGCTCTCAAGAACAGAACCGGTCACTTTATTATTAAATTCAGTATTTCATTTTCCTAGTGAAATTAATGCTTGAAGCAATTAATGGTAAAAAAAAAATCCTATTGAATAAAACACATTCCAAAAAGCAAACATTAACAACCCAAGCAGTGATATTTTATTGGCAGAAAAGCACCAAATCTGTTTATTTCTCCATTTGCTAACCAAACTGTTCTACACAACATAGAGGCCTTTCCCATCAAAACTGTTTCTCAGCCTTCATCACTCCTACCTGGCAACTGACTGTGCTTCAGGATAGCGGCCCAGCAATGCTAAGCATTCTGCTTTGAGGATTTTGAACCGGTGGCAAGCGGGGGCAAATTCCAGAGCACGATCCATGCAAAAGACAACCTGAGGCAGAAGGAGGAAACAGCCAGTAAGCATGGGAAGCACAGAGGTTGGGTGCTGCCGCAGTCCGCACCATGCCGCTGTGAGAGCAAGGAACAGTGACTGAACCAAGAGGAGAAAATACAGTAGGACCACTGCACCCGTGGTTACTCTTGAGTACCCAAGGTTTCACTTACCCACTGCCTGAAAACATTAAATGATGCCCCCTCCCGAAATACATGTTTCCAAGCTGTATCACCAGAACTGGCCACTAGAGAGAACCAGAGACTATGCTATAGAGAGGGTTTCTATATCCATGTTTTCTGGCATCTGTGCGTGTGGGGGGCTTGGAACTGATCCACCATGGATACCACAGTTGTACTGTACATCTCTACACAAATATCAAAAGCTAACAATAATAATAACTAAATGGAAGCCTCTCAATCGTGGATGGAAAAGCTCTGAGGAATCTGTCCTCCTGGCCTTTTTACAATGAATTGAAAGGGAATGGGGCCACACTTCCTGACATCCTCATGTCCATAACCAAAGTGACTAGAAGGCAGCTTCACCCTAGGCTTTCCCCATCTAAAGGAAGCCCAGTGAGTGAAGCCTGCTAAGGCCCTGTGTGGAACAGCAATCTTCCAGATGGTTGGGGCAGATTTCCTCTTCCTTCCACTTCCCTGCACAAAAAAAGAGGAAGAAGCAAAGCAAAGCAGACCCAACCAGTGGTTTCCAACAAGTTGGCCAAATCCCAACTTGGGAATTCAGCTGGTGTATCAAATCAAGACTCCTGTGTTTGGCTGACTTTGCTTCCTGTACTGGAAAGGCTAGGGAACAGCAAAGTAACTGAATCCTAGCCTCAAGGCTGTGGCTCACTTACTCTCTCCTTTTGACGAATGGTTTCTGAGAGAAGCTCCCATCCTGACTAGTGTGTGTGTGTGTGTTATCCCTGCTTGATGTTCAGAAGCAGGAGGTGACTGAATACTAGTTGTTTAGGAGCAAGACCAAAGGGAGGACTATCACTTTCATGCTTTACTTGCACACTTCCCAGGGCCACTTGGTTGACTACTGTGGGGTACAGGATAGAGAACCCAATGGACCTTTGATCTGATCCCAAAGGGCCCTTCTTATGTTCTTAGTGATTCAAAGGGAGACTGGAGATTCACTATCCAGCATTGTGCTTTTGGCTCTTCTCCGCTATATACTAAAATTAAAATGTTACATAAACACCTTTTTTTCCCTAAGACAGAAGCCACTGTAGCTGCAACAGGATCTGTATCTCTGGCAAAAAGAACTGCAATATGACTGAAGTTCCAGTTTGAGATCTCAACCCAAAATGGACTAATAACTCCACACTGCCAGGGCAAGAATACAGGATGAGTCCCAGGGTCATGGCACTTCATCTGATTTGCAGTGTTCTCTGCAAACTACAGAACTCTGTACCTAGTTCTGTAGGCCAACGGCACAACTCTAAATTGCTGTTAGGAGCATTTCATGTGTCTGACAGGCAGAGGAGGCTCTCTATGTTGAAAATGAAAGCCTGGACATTGTTTCCACTAAAAATAAATGCAAGGAGAGTACTCTGTGCAGATGGTGATTTGGGCCACTTGATTGTGGAAAGACTGTATGCTGTGAGCCACACATGGAGCACGATTTATGTAGGAGTGTTAGGTGCATGAGAAAATGTAGGGTGATGCAGCATCTTTCCAAAGAAGCTAGGTGGCTAATTTATGTTGCTAAACACAGAGGAAGATAATGACATCAGCCTATAATTAAAAAAAAAGTTCCCTGATGGAATAAACCCTGGTTCAAACATATTCTTCAAGCACTGGGGGCAGTCTAAAAACAAAACAGAATGTTTCCAACAGACTGATCAGGATGAGAGAGAGAGAGAGAGAGAGAGAGAGAGAGAGAGAGAGAGCTGTTAGTACTACTGTTTCTGCTCTTAAATAGGACCATCTATACCTCACTTTCTATGTGAATGGGACTGATCTAATTTGGAAAATATAGATCTGCAGTCATGTCTAGTATAGCCCTGTGCCTCTTCTGCATGTGTTCTGAGGTAACAGAAAAATGCTTTCCCCCAAATATGGAATTTACCCATTTTCTATTTCCAAGTGAGCTGCTTAAAAACTCAAGAGACCAAGAGTACTAAGACTCTAAATTATGTGTGTCTTGAGTGGGGGGGAGAGTGGCAGCTATGGCAAGTGGCTAACTGCAGCACCAGGCCTCAAGGAGTGATTTCACGAGCTCTTTTGCTGCCCTGGGCGAGAGACAGCTGCACAAGAACGGAGGCATTGTGTGGACTGTGCTTCAGCTGGGTTCTCAACTCTCCCTTCCCCCACCCTGGCCATACGTGACATCACCACTGGGCGCTGCGGGAAGCACCAAGACACTCCAGATGATGGAGGCCATGGGAAGGGGTTTCTTCTCTGCCAAAAAAACAAAGAACACACTTGACATTGCCCAAGGGATGGAGAAGCCTGGGGAGAGCTTACTCAAATCTCAGACAAGGCAGGGTTCTTCCTTAAGACAAACTTCGGATTGTCCTTGGCAAGCCAGCTGCTCCTTGCAATGAGAAGGCTGTGAAGCAGGAATTCACCAGGATGGAGAGAAGCCTCAATACTGATGTTGTGTGGCAAAGTTTATTCTGCCCTAAGACATACATTGACCATGCCTCAGGGCATATGGGGACACACCAAGAGCCTACACAGCAGATTTGTTACCCAAGCAGAGGCAGAACGAAAACTTTCACTTCTTTTTAGGAGCCAAAGCTACAGAATTCATTCTGAGGGAAAGACACCTGGTGAGGTGGATAAATGCTTGGGCTTCCACTACATCACTCTACATAACACAATCAACGATTAAATATTACGCTTTTACAAGGGGTTAATTAGATAGTGGTAGGAGGGCGAAATTGAGGTAGCCTCTAGATAAAGACTGCCTTAACACTATTATTCACAGCAGAAAAATTTGATAGCTTTTAGAAAGTTAAGTGATTATATGCTACATAGCTCTAACCTATAATAATTTAAGGTCAGTGACATTCAAACTGGGGTTTCTATGGAAATGACTGGATGTTCCTCAATGATAGCAACCTTTGGTGACAGACAAGCTCTCTGTCACTTACCCCACCACTTTCCTGTATGGAAATGTCATGAGAAAGAGGTGGGCGTGTCCATTCTCTGTTGACAAAGGGCAACAAGAGAGGTTCAGATGGTGCCCTGTATAAGTTGACATAAGGGATCTGTTTTGAGAATGCAGTTTTTCTTTGATAAAAGTAGAAAGAAATTTCTAGAAAGTTTGAAAAGAATTAGTTTAGCCCAGTGCAAAGCAACATTCTCTTTACCTTTCGAAAATCCCGTTTTTCAAAATCAACTTCAGCAATTTTCTCATACTGTAGGACAGTTCTGGCATTGTTCAGCTGGAAGAGAAGAGTTCTGTCAGGGTCTACCACATCAGTTTAATTGCACATGAACAGTCCCTCCTGCCTCCTCAGTAAACATTAGAAGATTTATATTTTGTTTAAGCACCATTTCTCCCTACCTATCCAAAAGCAACATTCAAGACTGATTTTCCATCACCTTTTGTCTTCCTCACAGAGATACTTGATGTATAACATCTAACAGTAGATGAACAGAGTATCCTCTTTAATTCAGGTTTCTAAAATCTAAGTATTTACTTATGAAACAAGTTTCTGGTCGTTGTGTGAGGCACCCGTTGTGCGAGGCGCCACTGTATTTACTTACGAAACACGTTTCTGCCATTTACACTTTCAGATGATGCACTTGAACTACACACTGGCACTTCGTACTCATTTCCCTGGAGAAACAAATATGAACAGTGGCACCACAGGTGCCGCAGTGGACCAATCCCCTTCCCCAGAATCAGCTGGGCCACTTACTGGGCTCTGTACAGCACTGTGCTCTGTCCTTGTCATCATTGTGTCAATGCCGGAAGGAGCCCAGCTGGCCCTTCCCTGCCTCCCCACTCAGCCGATCACTTTGGTGTGAAGGCGGGATGGAGAGTCTCCCCATGCAGCCAATGATTGCTTGGCGGTGTGGGGAGGTGGGGAAGGGCTTGCCAGTCTCCTTCTGTGTGTGACAATGACAACAATGCTGAGCGCTACGTGGAACCTGTTAAGTGACCTGACAGGTTCCGGGGGGCGGGGCGGGATTGGACCAGAGTAATGAATATGAAATGCCCATGTCTAATCTAGTACAAAGAAGCAATATTTATACAGTGGTGCCGCGCACAGTGACGATAATCCGTGCAGCAAAAATCGCTGCAAAGCGATTTCGTCACTATGCGAAATTAAAAAGCCTATAGGAATGCATTGAAACCCCTTCAATGCGTTCCTATGGGCTTAAAACTTACCTTTTAAGCAAAAATCCTCCATACAGCAGCCGTTTTCGCTGCCCGGTAAGCAAGGAATCCGTCCCTGTTTTACCCAGTGGCCATTTTGGAACCGCCGATCAGCTGGGGAAAAATCATCGCTATGCGATGATTGGTAAGCGAAACAGGGTACCGATCATTGCAAAGTGATTTTCCCCCATAGAAAACAGAACCCAGGGCTGTGTGAAGCTCAGACGAGTCCTGGGACAAGTATATAGGAAATTTTACCAACCTTATAACGTGGTTACAGGATAAGTAAAGGATCACTAGCTCTTCATCTCCTTAAACAAATTTTGCCCTGTGATCAAGTCTTGTGTTGGTAGTAATCTTAATTCATTGTTTATAAAAACCAGACTTCAAACCATGGCTTCAACATTCTGATTAACAAAAAGAGTGGCTAATGCTAATTTAATTGTTGTTAAGGTCAAATACTGGGATGCCATGGATAAGGCTGATGGGCAAGGATAAAGCAGAGCCTGAAGGACCACATAATCTTGTAGCCCCTTTTAATCCTGTGCTCAGAGTAAGGAATCAAGAGTGTTCACTTGCCCTCAGTCATTTCTTGACTGGTTCAGAAACCCATTATTCTGAAAGGTGTCCAATCAGATTGGAAGTGAAGGTGTTACTTCTAGTTTGTTTTAGGAAGAACAGTAAGGTTCTTGAAGAGAAATCAGAAGTTGCCTCTTTACCAGGCAAAGGGTTGCTGTGGCTCAGCTTCAATATCCTTGCTTGAAACAGCAGAAGCAAGGGGAAATGGTATTATGTGTAACTGTCTTGTGTGCAAAATTATGTCACTGCACAACCGGTAATGAAAAACTTAGAGAGACTTCAACTGGAGTCTGAAAGGGTACTTCACATTTAGTAAAAGGCAGCTACAGTATGAATATCTTTAAACAAATATGATGATTTATTTATCTCATTTTTATGCTGCTTTACTACCATAAAAGGGCTCATGGTAGCTTACGATAACTTAAATGTAATTAAAGATAATGGACAATAAATATACAATTAAGCATAGGATAATGTACAAACTGATTATTAGGCTAGCACCTTTTAGAATTCTACTAGAGGCTACTGGTTCCACTGCACTAGTACTAACATCTTGGGTAGTTCTTCCAGCAGGCAAGACAACTTCCAAAGCCTCACCTCTTGCTGAGCCTGTGTGTTTTTATGATCCAGTTCTAGAACTCGTTGAAAGCAGCGGCTGGCAGCCATGGCATTCCCCAGAGATAGGTGGCACTTTCCCTCCCGCAGATGTCCCTGAAAAGACATTGGAAACAGAAAAAGATTTGATGGCATACACCGCACATGTGGAAGAGCACCAGGGGAGTTGCAAAAATTGGATCACATACCCTCACAAAGCTATCATCCATCCTGACAGACTGCTGGGCATCCCCGAGAGCCTCCCGGAATCTTCCCAGCATCATGAGCGTGGCAGCTCGGTTCCCATAGTAACTGGCATTGCTAGGACATGTATCTAAAACAGGGTAAGAGAATAATTAGCACAGAAACAAAACAGTACATGTCCCCAATGTACTCGGCTCTAACTCTTTAATTCTGAAATTTTTGAAGATCTCAAAGACAGAAGCAAAAACTGAACAGCATACATCACCCAACAAGGTTTTTTTTATTGTTGAAACTTTCCTAGAAGTTTCCAAACCTAACATGATTTATGATCATTTATAAATCAAAATGATTTATAAAATGAGTTTCATAACATACACTATTCCTATCCCTTAGCAATTGAATCAAATTCCAAATGGGAAGATAAAGAATGTAGAATAAGGTGCAGAGAAACAGGACAGTGAAAAGGCCCCCATTAACAGAATCTATAGGAAGATCTGCAGACCAAATGATGATACTGTCAACACTCACTTCAAGAAAGATTAGCTCTTGCTCATCCAAATAGGTCTTGCAATGTTTTTGTGTTACTCTCTATAACTATGAAGGCTATATATTTTTATTTTAATATTCTGTAAGACTGCAATGTTCAGAATACTGAGGTTTTACACTTTTGCACATATGACATTCTAATATTTAACACGTTGCTTGCAAACACACATATCTCAATGAAGAATACAGCAGGACTCCCTTAACTGCAGGATCAGTATCCACTGATTCACTGTCTGAAAATATTAAAAATACTAAAAGAAAAGTCCCCAAAATATGTATTTTAAACAATGAAATTACCCGAACTGGCCACGAGAGGGAGTCAGAGACCATATTATGTATAGCATTCATTATTATAATAGTGTTTGCTATAACCCATGTTTTCCAGCATGCGAGTCAGAGACCATGTTATGTATAGCATTCATTATTATAATAGTATTTGCTATAACCCATGTTTTCCAGCATGGGGTGGGTGGGGTTGGAACCGATCCCCTGTGCATAGTGGGGTCCTACTGTACCTCCATATGAAGGCCCTGGTCCTTGAGGTCAGAGTCACAAAACAACTGGAGCTTTGATATGACCCACATCTCTACACTTAGGATACTGCATCTAACTGTGAAAACCTCTTGCTGAATATGGACTGCCTACCATGAACAGGAAGCAATGCACTACAGACCAAGGGAGCAGGTAGTGTTTTTCACAGAGAGAAACCAGGGTCTTTACGCTGCCACTTCTCAGATGAATAAGGTGAACAACCAAGGAAAGCAACCTCCTCCAAACCCTCTTCCCTTTAATCCTCACCTATGGCTTTTGTATAGTAGTTGTACGCTTCATTGTAGTCTTTCTTGGCATACAAGGCATTTCCTTGCTCCTTGTAGGTCTCCGCTTCCCTGGAAAGAAACAAGATATCACACCTTAAGGCCCAGAACGCTGAGCAGCAAAGAGAAAACAACAGGATAAAGTGTAATGCCACCAAATCACTGTGCTCACGGAAACATTAGAAACAGGAGACCCATCCACGGGTATGGAAGGACTGTTACATGTATAGTAACTCCTAATGAGGCGTACCTACTATGTGAATAATGTTAAGGGGTTATGCAGCTTGTGCCTTACTTCAGAGACTAAGAGGATGCCAACACTAGAGTTTATCCTGCTCTGTAACCCCCTGCTGGAATTGCTCTAAAAAAGTCAGCTGCATAACATTCTTGTCAGAGTGTTCCAACCTGTCCCTAATGGAGGCTAATCTGTCCCATATTGGTCCAAGGTTGGAGCCTATTGTTTATCTGGAATGATTAGGATCAGTCCTAGATCACACCCATGTGGTATGTGTGATTGTTTTTCCTACATATCAGTGGTGATGTGCAGAGATGAGTATGGTCTGACAGTGACTGCGGATGGCACCCTCCAACTTATTTTGAAGCAGAAAAAAATGGCATTTTTGATTTAATTTTTAATTTTTTAAAAATACCTTCCCATTATTGTGCTGCATCACTTAACTATGTCACTTAGCAAAAATTAATCTTAAAAAGGGAGAAAATGAGAAATGTGGGGGTGAAACATGGCATATCCCCCTCTTTGTCTGCATAAAAATCCAACATCAATGCCTCCACACACACACTGCAAGCCACCAGAAGCAGGCTGTTTCCCAACTTGCTGGCAGCTGTTGTAAAAGAGGGCAGGAGGCAGGGAATGAGAGGGGCACATGGTGGCCAAATGAGCCTAAACAGAACACTCTAAAATGCTAACATGTGGTTAACTACATCACAACCACAGGGGCTCCAGAAACCATTCCCACGTGGAAGGAAGGAACAATCTAATCAAGCCCCACCATTATAAAGTGATCCACTCCCTGTTGCTAATGTAGCCATACCCTAACTCAGCTTAGTTTATGTTAGGGCTCTAGTGAAACCATTTAAGAATTTTATATAAGAACATTCCCACAGAACATAGTTAAGCACTCAGAAAAGGGCTTCACAATTAGGCTAAATACCTTGATCCAGGTGGATTCTTCCTAAGTCAGTGGTCCCCAACCTTGGGCCTCCAGATGTTCTTGGACTACAACTCCCAGAAGCTTTCAGCATCACCTCTGCTGGCCAGAATTTCTGGGAGTTGAAGTCCAAGAACATCTGGAGGCCTAAGGTTGGGGACCACTGTCCTAAGTGATCTAACACAGGCATGCCATAAGAATGGATCGACTTTGAGTGGCTGCTCTTAGGCCATCACTCAAATGTAATCATCCTATTAACGTAATTTTTAATCAGGATGGTGTATATATGTCTGCATACAAATTAAATTATTCTGACAACAGTGCCATGCTGTGTGTTTACATAATACATGGACATACTCCATCATGCCCTTTCTCAAACGAGCCATTGCCATCAATGTGCAAAAGGAAGAATGCCTTTACATGCCTTTACATGCATCTCGGTTTTCATAACCACTTATACTAAACAGATTTACATTAGACATCTGCTTCCCTATTCAACAGTAGACTTTTTTTTTTTGATAAACCAAAATGTATCTGAGTGACTTGGTTAACCAATTAATCCCTTAAGGCCGCAGACCTTTTATCTTTAACTTGGAGAAAAAAGGCAGGCACAGATAAAAAGCAAGAAAGCTCAAAGTAACTAATCTTGGCAATGATATCTTAGTTACAGAGCCCACTTCTGCTGAAATATGAACTAGAAAGTGAGGGGAAAAATGCAAGGAGGGAAAATATCTGCAAAGGACTTTCCCAAAGCAGATAAATGTTTGTTTCTATTTATAAAGTACAAAAGCAAGCTTCTATTGTTGGTCCTTGTATACTTTAAAGTTTGAAAATATAAATTTCTCTAAGATAACCACTTTTCCCAGTTTAAAAAAACACACAACAGGTGGCAAATGTATAAGAAACAGAAAATACCATACTGTATAACCAAAATTTGGTTAGCTAATCACTAAGTGGAACTGAAATGTTGCCAAGTTTTATTCTGGGCCTACCAAGGTGCTCTGAAAGAAACTGTATTAATAGCTGCCCCAGCTCTTAAGATGTAAAATAAAAAGAGGCAATCAACAGAGGTCAGATGAAAGCCACTGGAGAAAGGAAGGATTACTTTAAGATCAACATAATTTAGATTATAAGGGAAAAAGGCCAGTTTGAAATCAAACATCTAAATGATTTTTGCTGTTGTTCATTTTCAGATTGATATCATTATACCTACTAACAGGTGCACTACAGAATTTGTAGAATAGGAGAACTCTAACGTCAAGGATTTCTATTTAACTCACACTTTAAGCATGGAAAAAAGTTACACACAAGACTACTGGGAGTCTGTGATACAATGTGAGCCTACAAACAACTACTCAAAATTAACAATGTACAGTATTGAATTTCACATGAGCTGTTCCTGAGCAAATGAATACAGTATGAACCCCCCAAGATTTCCTGGAAGCTAAGACTGCCAGGGACTGACTGCTAGAGAAGGATAAATATCCATATCCTCTGACAGACTAGTGTAAGAAAAATATCCAATCATATTATCATATAAAAACAGCAGATGACAGTAAACCAGAAGTAATGAACTAACTAAAATGTCTGGGTAAATAAAAAGGTTTGAAATATTTCAGAAACAACTGCAGTGTGGAAGAGAATCATACTTCCACCAGAAGAGCATTCCACAGCCTGGGTGCCAAAATCAGGAAGGCTTTGCTTTTATTGACATATGACATATCTATCATATGATTTGGTTCCAAAGATAATAAAGGAACATTTGACTTAAGTTCATACAATCTGCACTTAATTTGTAAACCTGGTGTACTGTTTACAAATACGGTAAGTTTTAAAGAGGTCAACCTCTCAGGTTAGTGTGTGTTTTTTTCTTTTTCATTTGCCTCTATTCATTCTTTTACACAGAAAATCTGGCTTCAACTATTAGCTAGTGCCTTTGAATTCATTTTCCAGAAATTATGAAACTGTGTGCTTAAATATATTTCATTTATTTCAGACTGTCTATGAAAAATAGTTTTTGAAAGTAATATTTAATATAAATAGTTTCAAAGTATTAAAACTAATAATAAATGTATCAGATTTTTTTTAAAAAAGGGAGAATGTACAGAACACCAATATCCTTTTCCTTCAGTGAGAATTTTAAAGTTTGCCGTGTTTCTTTTTAATATGCAAGGCTGTCAACAGAAATTTGCACCCTGCTGAGTCACTGAAGATAATGCATTGTTTGCACTCTAGAGACTATACCAGACATCCAAAAATTTGGAGGGTACAGTATTATCATATTGCTTCAAAATGAGAATTCAGTAATTCTACTTTGGCAGATGGAGGTTATCCAAAATCTTGACCTAAAATGATGTATTTCATGCCTAAGGACTCTGCTGAACAATGCGTGTTGAGTAAGCTGACTAAAAGGAGGAGAGAGAAGCCACCTTATATCTCCAAGATGATGTCTCTACTAAGCTGGGTTTCTTCGGCAGATCCCCACCTCTTCACTACTCCAGCAAGAGCCAAGCAAAAGGCATTTTGGAGGAGACAATACTAGCTATGTCAGGGATAAAAAGCTCTAAAGAGACAAAAACAGAACAATAGAGGGTTGTGCTGGGATGAGTTAACATGGTTTTAACCTCACTCTGTCCCTAACAGTAGTGACCTTTCTGCACTCTCTCTCGTCCACACAACTATCACCAGAACAGGGCACTTGTTTTGCATGCAAACACAACAGAACCCAAGAGAGGTCACTTACCTGCGGCTGTAGTTCTAAGTGGTCATCTATGTATTCACACTAATGAGCTATTCTGTGTCTGTGCAAACATCCTCAGAATCTTCCAGTACCTAAAAACCTGTTTTTAACATGTTAGCCCCCCCCCAACACGTTGTGCATGCTCCTTCTCCCAACAGCTATCTCTCAGTTCCTATGTCCGCCATTGGCTGGTGGGATGTCATTCCGGCACCTATGAAATTACTGCTCAACCAAACAACCCATCAAGTTTTGCTCTGTAGCCTATAATGTTTAACAGACATCATGGGCTGAGAGCATGTGGCTGCTTTACAAACGTCTATCACCTGTACCCCTTTCAAGAACAGTAGAGGAAGCAAGTGCTCTAGCAAAAGGTTTCTGTAAATAATTGCACAAATGTTCTCTTGTCAATTGGTTAGACAAGGTGGTAACATTTACCAGCTACCTGGATATGAGAGATGGGCATGAACTGCTGGTTCAGTGTGTTTGGTTCCCAGCTGATCCATGGTTTGGTGTCCTGCCCCCTCCAGTAGACACCCACTTGAAGGCAGTGCCTGGAGGAAATACCGTATTTTTCTGTGTATAAAACGACACTTTTTCCTAGAATAATTAGAGGAAAAATTGAGTGTGGTTTTATACACAGAAGGAAGCAGTCATGCGCGCGCTCGGGTGCCTCTTCCAGAGCTCAGGAGCAGCAGGAGGCGGAGGCGAAGGAGCATTCACATGTGCTCGGGCGCCTCTTGCTGCTGCCTTCCCCGCCTGCCCGATCACCACCTCCGCTGGGACTGATGGGCTCAGCTCACGCTGCTGCCTTGTCCCCTTTGGTGGTGGAAGCAGGAGGAGGCAGAGGCAAACAAGCTCTCGCGTGCGCTCAGGCACCTCTTCCTGCTACCACCGCCGGATCACCTCCTCCCACGATCTCCTTAGGGCAGGGGACAAGGCAGTGACATGAGCCCCGGCAGTCGCACTGGAGGAGGTAATCGGGCGGGCAGCGGAGACAGCAGCAGCAGGAGATGGAGGAGCAGTTGCCCATTAACTGCTTCTCTGCCTCCATCAACGGTCAAAATTAGGGGGGTGTTTTGTATATTGGAGGGTCGTATATGCGGTAAAATACGGTAAACTGTGCCCAAATGCCAAACCAGTGGTGGTTTGTGCACATACATAAA